TTTCCAAATCACTCTATATAATGATTCTTACTTTGAAGATTTGTTGCAGTATTCTTACGGACTTCAAAACATGCTATCCTTAACTGACATTTTGAACACTGAATTAATCAAAGGTGCACTGATGGGGTAGAGGAGGAGGAATAAGGGAAAAGGATTGGCATGGGAGGTTTGGTGGGGAAATGAGTAAAACATGTGTACATAAATGTAAACCCAAAGTTACCTAGACATAAACTACTATAAATTAGGAATAAAAAATTCAGTGATTATCAAAAAATATATTAACCTGTACTAATTTAGTTAATGGGTTTAGTGTAAAAATTAAACTTTAGGAGGGTCACTTCTAAGAAGTGATTTAATTAGTGTTAATTGAATCCCAAAGAAAAATTAACAGTGCTAGTAAAGTCAGTGTATACCTGAGACATAGCTTAACATTATGTTCAAATACTTGATATAAAAAATTTCATTTGTGTATAAAGCTTATTTGCATCATCTGAAGGAGGTAAAATTTTTCAGTAGCAGAAAAGGAGAAGATTTAGAGAATTTTACCACTCTTGAAAGTAATTTAAAGAGGTTGAATTGTTGTAATGCTGACTAATAGTGAAAACGGAATTTTTACTATTATTTGGGGCTAATCGTCCTCTTTTAGCTGTTTGCTACAAACTTGCAGAACAGGGATTTTTTTTTATGATGATTGCAATGTAGAATACAAAGAAAATGTTTAAAAGTGTTATCAAGAGTTATGTGTACCATTTTAAACATAAGACTTATATGCACAGAAGTTAAAGTTCAACCAGGCAATTCGAGCAATCTCAAGTTTCTTAGTTAAAAAGTTTGACAACTATCATTTTCTAATGATAAAACAAAAAAATTTTCACATTCTCATTCGAGATGCCATTTCTATTATGTCATAAATCAGTATAAAATTTTATTGTATCGAATATTTGAACATAATGTTAAGCTATGTTTCAGGTATACACTGACTTTACTAGCATATTTTCTAAATTTGCTGTGATGTTGAAAATGTTCCTGACTCCTGTGTAGACATTCATAAATGAACAGTCATTATTGGAGGCAGTTCAACAGATATAAAGCTGATTAGTTGCCCTGAAGGAAAAAAAAAAATGATTTCTAAACAAAAAAGGTCCTTAAAAGTATGTGTATTTAGGAGTGTGTGTGTGTGGGGGGAAGTATGTGTAATTATTATCAGTGCATTCAGCAGGAAATTGTATTAGTAAAAAGAACCCAAAATGGTAGAAAAGGAAACACTGGAGGGTAAGAAAGGAATGAAAACATAATTTCCTAAATAAAATGCTCAACAATATTACTGTGGTAAAACAAATATTACTAAAAATTGTATGTGTTGAATGAGCTAAGTAACTTACTGTTTTCGGGAAACCTACTTGATCTTTTATGCCTTAGAACATTTTCAGAGGGCTCAGAATGCTGTTGGGGTTGTAATTTTGGCAGTCACTGAATAGATAATTTGCTACCTCATACTTCAGTAGATTTACAGTCTCTTGGTTCCATATTTGCAGTTTCCTGAGGGACCCTAAAAACTGATGATTGCTGATATTAGTGTTATACTGACAAAATAAAATAAGCACTGTACCTCAGGAATCCAGCATCAGTGGAAGGTAGATCAACAACACATTCAGAGTAAGAAATTTCTATTGAAACAGATTTTTGAAATAGATTATAAAACTATCGAACCAGATCTTTGAAATAGATAACTTTTACAAGAGAAATAGTAAGTACATTTAGGGAGAAAACTCCAGTACAAAGAAACTTTCTAGAACTAACAATCTTAATAAAAAGAGTTCAGTAGATAAAGCAAAGAAAAATGTCACTGTTGAGAATGAAATTAACATCTTAGGAATCAAATAGAACTATCTTAAATATAGAACAAAATTAAAAATGTTGGTAGTCAGGAATTAAAAAGTAAGATACAATTCATAAGTGAATAGATAATTCAGGCAAAAAGAAATTCAGGCAAGAAGACATTCACTATCATGTGAATTAATGCTGTACAAGGGGAAAAAAAGTAGATATGATAGTTAATAGCTGAATAGTAATAGGGGTACTTTAGTTTACTATAGATGCCATAATTATCACAAAGTGGATGATTTAATGCTGGTGGATGGAAATTAAACTTTTGATGGACATGATATTATAGTATATATAGATCTTGAATTATAATACTATATACCTGAAATTTATAAACTATTATAAGCCAGTGTTACTTCCTTAAAAAAAAGAATAAGGTATAACACAATAAGACTACATTTTTTACAACTATGTAGAGGCTTAGGCCCAGCCAACAGCCCATTCTCTTACCTGTTGAAAAATAATTGTCATATAGGCAGGGGATCTGAGTTTATTATTTATATGGACTACTGAAAGAAAATAGTTGAAAGTTCTCCAGATACTTGAGTTAGAACAGAGGTTCAGGATGTAGGAAAATGACAGGAGGAGGAAACTATAGTTAATTAAACATAGTTAAAATATTTTACGTATTTTATTACATGTAATGCAGGTGGAAACCTTAAGACTTGACATGTCAGTTTTGATTTGGGGAGTAATAGACCTTTCCTCAAGATTTAAAGAATACAGACATGCACTAAGTGCAGATGGATATTCTGTTTTTTGGAGGGAACACCAAACTATCAGATACAGATTCCAAAAATGTCCTTTTCTTTAGGATATGTTATAATTTTGGTTTAACAAAATAGTTTTGATCAGTGTGTTGAAAAAAATATTGCCATAAAGGAAGTTCTTTGAAACACCTCTTTTGATTTCTTTTAATTAAACAGCTACTTTTGGGAATCCCCATTTTCTACCCATAAATTGATAATCTAATGAAGTCATACTTCTGAGCTTATATATATTAAGCAATTTAGATAGTTGAACTATATCTTGCTAACAACATTTTCTAGATTGATACTCTGGTAATATTTTGCTAATTAGAGTACTGGTAAGTTTACAAGGCTGTCCCAAACCTCTGATTTGAGGTTTTTGAATGTTTACTAGTAACCGGGCTTGAACTTTTCTTTCTCCTTCCTAGAAGGGAGAGTGAATTACTAACTTACAATTAACTCTTTCCTTCTAACTCCATAAGAGTTGTAAAGTTTGTTATCATGGAAAATTTGTTTGCTAATATTTTAATTTTTCTTCCATAAATTATCTTTATTCTCTGTCTTTGTAGAAAATGGGAAAATGGGCTATTAAAAAATACTTGCCAGGTATTTTTTAATCTGTTCAGAGTTTATATTGCTAAATATAGCAGAATCTCTCCAAGTCATAGTTGCTTTGATTTTTTTTTCATGTTAACATCATGTTTTATCCTAAGAATCTTCAGATATGTATTTAAAATGGCTGCCCTTTTAGAAGAAATTTGAGGTAGGGATTGAAGAAATTTTTGTCAGTGGTGAAGAAACTATTTAGAATTAGCCCCTTGGGATTCAGTTCTGATGATCCCAGTTTTTTTTTTTTTTTAAAGATTTATTTATTTATTCATACAGAACTGGGGTACAGGCCAGAGGCTCAGGGACGGTGAGAGGCTTCACCAGAGACAGAGTGGGGAGCAGAACAGGCAGATTGACGAAGTACACTGCTGAGGGGAGCAGCGGGCGGGTCAGGAGAGGTCTGGCTCGCCATGTGGTCTCCTCCGGGGCAGGCGGCAGGCGAACACAAGAGGAAGCGGGTTTAGAATCTCAGTGCTGTGCTTTAACCCGCTGCGCCACCAGGGAGGGCCCTGATGATCCCAGTTTTGATGGTAATATCCAAAGCATTATGGTTAGGAGCCAGTTGCACATAGTCTTCTTTTATTCATCAGGTCTGACCAGGGTGTTGACCATGACCACATCATTATTACAGAGCACAGCCTGTTTGATCTGGTGCTTGTTGGCCTTGACTTTAACCATGAACACAAATGCATTGTTTTCTGTATTCCTTGCAACTGACTCAGTGGTCAGAGGGAACTTGATAATGGCACAGTGGTTAAACTTGTTTCTCTTGGGGGTGTTCCGAGGATATTTGGGTTGCCTTCGGAGTCATAGTGTTATGGGTGTCCAAAAGGTGGCTGAAGCTTAGATTTTTTCTTGTGGCTGTGGATGCCTTTCAGTGCTGCTTTCTTGACTTTCAGAGCTCTGGTTTTGGCTTTGGGAGTGGCTTCTTCCTTCTTTACCTTTGGTGCCATCTTTGTATAAAAAGGACTGAAGAAATTTATTAAGAACTTAAGGCTACTTCAGTTTAGTATGTTAAGTATGGGTATGTATTAGGGTATGGATCCCTAATTTTAGTCCTTGTGTTTTTTATAATCATTCTTGAAGTTTTGTTTACGTTGAGGAAAACCCTCAAAGAAAGTAGCAGACTTAAAAAATAATCTATGAAACTTTTTGTCATCTATGGAACTTTTTTCTTAGGAAAACGTGGTCACTTGCTAGATCAAAAGACTAATTAAAAAATACAGGAAAGCTATTGTTAATTGTGAATAGATCCATACCCTGTTATGGATCCATATTTAACATACTAAACTGAAGTCTTAAGTTCTTAATAAATTTCTTCAATCCTTTTTACACATTGAGTGCTTTCTTCAATGTAAACAAAACATCAGTGTGAACAGTTCTACAGCTTGCAGTTTATTTAAATGTCAACAGTTCATAGCAATGTGTATGCCCAAGAATTTCCATCATTAATGAGGTAAAGATTACTTTTGAGAGGTTCAAAGTCATGGAGTAATAGGATTTTGAGGCGCTAAAATCAGACATATTTTAAAAGGAAGAAATACTAAATAAGCATTTAGTTATGAAATTTAGTATACTGTATGGTTTTCTTGTCATTCTACCTCTTATGAGCTATGCTTGGGCCCAGGTGCCATAACTTACTTTAAATATGGATGTCTGGTTCTTCAATCATATTGACAGAATTATCTTTGAGTTTTCTTTCAAAGATTGTATTATATTTATTCATAAGGCAACTATGTTGTTGTATTCTACATCTAGAACGTTTGATAGATGAATAAAAAAAAATGGCAACAACTCCACCAGCTCGGAAACTTCCTGTGTGGATGAATATGCAGGATGAGAGAGGAGCTATAGAAGAAAAAAAGGTATGCAATTCATTAATTATTCTTTCAGGTTGGAAACTTAAACTTGACTGTAAAATGAGCCAATCCTCACTTGTAAACTTCAGGTCATTAGTTAAGTTTGAGTTGCTGTGGTATGATTGAAAACAGAGTCTAGTCACTGAATGTGTGAATAGTATTACATTAATTGGTTATACAAACTGAGAATTCTTACTCTGCCTTTTTTCATTTATATAGTTTGGATGGCTGACCATAATTAATCAGTTCAAATTCAGATAACTAGATAGTATTTACCTTGATGAATTTTGCCGTTAAGCGATAAAATCCACCTGTCAATCTTAAGCATTAATTTAAGGCAATAGTATTACATCTTCAATACTAATATAATTACAGAAAAAACTCTCACTAAAATAAGTGCTCTTGAAAAATATGATTATAAGATTTTGCAAATACTTGTTAGAAAATGCATTTATATTTATTATTGTCTTATGACTTCATTAGTCTAGAAAGCATAAGTTGAGAAAATTTAGAAAGGTAATTTAAATGCTTCAGTTAAGTTTTTTTGTGTCAGATGTTTATTTTTTAATCTGAGCTTTATGCTTTTTGGAATTTCTTTTACCTCAAGGCACCCATTAAGAAGAGTGTTTTAGAAGAAGACCTTCCCTTCTTAGAATTCTCTGGATCCATAGTGTACAGTTATGACGCTAATGATGGTTCTTTACTAGCTGAAGATATTAGGTAAGAGATTTGATTTTCACAATTACCTTTGACTTTGGACTCTTCAAAGGTGACTATTATTTGTAAGTATGTTTAGTTTTATGATTGAGGTGTTTGTTATTAACAGAGTAACAGAGTTCAACAGAGTTAAGTGTTAATTCTGATTTTTAAATTAAAACTTAGTCACTGTGTTAAATTTGTAATGTACCTATTTTGTTCATTTATAAGCCTTTCTGTATTTTACCTATTTTTTGACTTTATGTATATATAATATAATATTTATTAGTATTGGGACACTATATATTTTACCAATTTAGGGAAAAAGCAAAATTATTTTTCATTTTCATATTTCCCTAAAATATACTTTTAAACGTCAATAAAAATGCTGCAATCGACTCTGTTGTGTTTAGTTAGCAATAATTGTAGCAAATATCCTTAAGAGGAATATTAGAAATGATTATGTATTTTTTTAAATATATTCATTATATCATCCTTCATTTTTTTGTACAATGTATAGTGCCCTGGTGAAATTCCCACCAACAGTTTACCCTTGTATGATCACCATAGTCCTTTCTGCTCTTCCCATCCCTGTCCTTGACTTTTTCTCTCCTCCTCTCTTACAGAATGTCTCTTTATTATAGGTACTTTTCTTTTTTTTCCTGATTCCTGTTTTGTTCTCTCTACTTTACTCCTGTGAGAGCATTGATATTTTTCTTTTTCTTCTGGCTTGTTTCACTTAAGCATAATCCCTTCCAGCTCCATCCATGTTGCTGTGAAGGGCATGAATTTATCCTTTCTGATTTCTGAGTAATATTCCATTGTGTAAATGATCTTGATCCAGTCATGTATTTTTGGACATTTGGGTTGCTTTCATAGCTTACTTCTTGTAAATTGTGCTGCAATAAATGTAGGGGTGTAGGTGTCTTTTTGAATTAATGTTTTTATGTCTTTGGGTAGATTCCTAGGAGTGGAATTGCTAGATCATATGGAACTCCATTTTTAGTAGTTTGAGGAACCTCCACACAGCTCTCCACTGGTTGGACCAGTTTGCAGTAAAGGATAGTTCCTTTTTCTCCTCATCCTCGCCAACATTTGTTGTTGCTAGTTTTTTTAATATGTGCCATTCTCACTTGTGTAAGGTGGTTTCTTATTGTGGTTTTGATTTGCATTTCCCTGATTAGAAGTGATGGTGAACATTTTTTGAATATGTCTGTTGGCCATTTGCATTTCTTCTTTGGAAAAGTATCTTTTTAGCTCTTCTGCCACTTTTTTGACTGCCAATATTTTTTTACTTTTTTTTTTAAATAGTTGGATAATTTTTTTTTTAAGATTTATTTGTCCATGCATACAGAACTGGGGTGTAGGGGCAGTGAGAGGATTCACCAGAGACAGAATGGGGAGCAGAACAGGCCAACTGATGAAGCACACTGCTGAGGGCAGCAGCGGGTGGGCCATGAGAGGTCTGCCACGCCATGTGGATCACCTCCCGGGCAGATGGGGATCAAACTCATGTGAAAATGGCTTTAGCTTCTTAGTGCTGTGCGTTAACCCACTGTGTCACCAGGGAGGGCCCTATTTACTTTGTTTTTGTTGAGTTTCATTAACTCTTTGTAAATCTTTGTAAATCCTTGATGTTAGTATTATGTGCAAGAATTTTCTCCTAATCAGTGGGGTGTCTCTTTGTTTTGGCTAATGTTTCTTTTGCTGTATAGAAACTGTTTAATTTGATCTAGTTGCAGCTGTTTATCATTTCCTTCATTTTCTTTGCTTTCAGTGATGTGTCTTTAAAGATGTTATTACTATGTATGCCATGTAGTGTTTTGCCTATACTTTTTTCTATATATTTTGTGGTTTCAGGTCTTATATCCAGTTCATTTGATTTTGTATTTTTAAAAGTTGCCATGTGATATTAGGATGTTGCAGTACTTCAGTCTAAGACTCTTGAATATAAGCAGGTGTAGTGAGAAATTCATTCACATCTTTTTTGAACTTATCCTTTTTTTTTTTAAACTGAGGTGAAAGAAGCTATTTCACCTCAGTTAGGTAAGGTAAGCTATTTATTAATGGTTTCCTGGTGATAGATATAACCTAAAAATAGTATTTATCTGTACCTCACTCTGGTTATAGTTATCTGTCTACTTTTAGGTGTCATTATATATAGAACTAAATATGTCTCACAGAAAAGATAAAATCTACTATTTGTAATTATATAGTAATTCTATCTTTGGCAGTTTTAAAATATTGTAATTCTGAAGACACTAAACATAAAAGACTGAAGAATATATATTTGATGAATTGTATGTATTTTTTTAAAAAGATTTATTTGTGCATACAGAACTGGGGTATAGGCCAGAGGTGTAGGGATGGTGGGAGTATTCACCAGAGACAGAGTAGGGAGCAGAACAGGCAGATTGATGAAGCACACTGCTGGGGAGAGCAGCGGGCGGGTCAGGAGAGGTCTGCCGTGCCATGTGAGTCACCTCCAGGGCAGGCGGGGATTGAACTCATGCTGACGTGGCTTTAGCTTCTTAGTGCTGTGCTTTAACCCACTGCGCCAGAGGGAGGGCCGAATTGTATGTATTTTAGGAATGACACACAGTGCCCTCCTACCTACTCCATCTCTCTGATCTTCTTAGGCCCATTTTGCTATAGTAGGTTTTCGACAATTTGGTTATGATGTGATTTTGTGAAGTGTGGTTTGTGCAGGCAGATCAGATGGCTTTTTTGTATCTGCATGTTTGTAGGGCAAGTGAAAAAAGTTTTCTCAGGATATTTTTTTGCTTTGATTTCCAGCACAGGTGACCTAGTAAATAGCTATAACCTTTAGATGTAGTCCACATGTGCAGGAAACAGTAAATAACATAATTTTGATGTTTGTATGTGCAAAAACATATGTAACCTAGGCATAAATTTGGCTCTGCGCTGGCTTTGTCTATAAATCATATAAAGACTAACAGAGCTCCCAAGGGTGTCCCAGCTGGGGCAGTCCCCTACCCTTCTGTCCAGGAGCAATTGCTGCTGCCCCTTGTGTACTATGACCAGGCATTTGGATGTTGCTACTGCTGCTGCTGTCTCTTGCTGCTTCCATAAAGACATGTTGTTGGGCCTGCCCAGGCATCCAGAAAGAATCTGGCCACACTTCAAGCACTGGACCTACAATGTTTATCTCAAATTTGAAAAATTTCTTAGTTTTTTAAAATTCATCCTGTTCTTTTTCTCCTTCTGGGATATTTACATATATGTAAGTTGTATCACTATTCTGTTTCGTTCGTCACTGAACTTTTTCTTTTTTTATTTTTAGTTTTCTTTCTCTGCTGTCAGTTTGAATATCAAGTTTCTTTTGATATGTATGCAAGTTCACTTATGTGAATTTTTTATTTTAGATGTTGTATCTTTCGTCTGTAGAAGATCCATTTGGTTCTTTTAAAGAAATACTTTCCATCTTAGTGGCCATCAAATTCCTGTTTTATTTTAAATCTTTGAACCTATTGATCATACTTATAATGGTTGTTTATATTATCATTTTGTGATGTCCATGTTAATACTGTTATTCCAGTTATTTATAAATGATTTTTATCCTGGTTAAGGGTCATAGTTTCCTGTTCTTTTTCTCGAGGCTGAAAATTTTTGCCTTAGCAATGATTTTACCTTGTCAAATGTTAGATTTTTGACCTCCTTCAAAGAAAGGAGCTTCTTCTAGTTGAAAAAAATGGAGTTTTTTGTTTTTTTTTTTTAACAGGAGGAATAGTGTTGCAATAAATATCTTACACATTTCTGCCTCCTTATGCACATATGAGAGCTTCATAGATCATGAGAAAAAAATGCTAGGTTATCATGTTTGTACATCTTCAACTAGACATTGTCAAAGCTTTTTCCTATAGTGTATATATTTATCCCTATACAAGGGTCCCAACTGATATCCTTCTCAGCACTTAACTTTTGCCAGTCTGATAAGCATGAAATTTAATTTGCATTTCTCTGATTTCGAGTGAGATTTTGTGACTTTACGTGTTATTTGGGCTTATTGGCCATTTATTTGTATTTCCTCTTGGGAATTGTGAATGGATTTATTTTTAAAGATTTTATTTATGCATACAGAAATGGGGTACAGGCTAGAGGTGCAGGGGTGGTGAAAGGATTCACCAGAGACAGAGTAGGGAGTGGAACAGGCAAGATCCACAGAGATATACTGCTGAGGGGAGCAGAGGGTGGGATAGGAGAGGTCTGTCATGCTATATGGATCACCTCTGGAGTGGGGGATCAAACTAGCACTGAAGTGGCCACAGCTTGGATTAGCTTTGCAGTGCAGCACTCCAGACTTGTGCACCAGAGTCCCTGTATGGACTTTTTCTTCTATCTTTTTTTACTGGAGTATTTGTCCTTCTTGACTTTTCAAGGAATTTTTAATATTATATAGTTGTTCATTATCAGTGATGTCTATCACAGATATCTTCTACTGTCTGTGACCTCTCTTTTTAACTTTTTGAATGATGTCTGTAGTTATATTGAAGTATAAATTTTGATGTAAGTACTACTTATTTTTCATGTAACTAATGTACGTCTTTTTCAACTCCAGGATGAGTCTGTCTGATGGAGATGTGGTAGGATTTGACATGGAATGGCCACCAGTATACAATAAAGGAAACCTGGGCAGAGTTGCATTGATTCAGTTGTGTGTGTCAGAAAGCAGATGCTACTTGTTTCATGTTGCTTATATGTCAGGTTGGTATTGCTTTTCTTTGTTTCATTTTATGTGGTAAATAATTATATTATGTTAAGGTTATCCTTTTTAAATTAAGTTCTCAAGTTAGTGGGCACTTCTTTAATACCATGTTTTTTGTGTATTTATGTTCTACCTGATTCATTCACATCCCTTGTTTTATTTAATGTTCACATCTCTGTCAGGCATTGTTATTATTCCTGCAGTAGAGTGACAAAGTAGAGTTTAGTGGGTGAAGTGGGGAGGTATACATTGTTATTATTAATAGAGGTAGAACTCTATTACTAATTATAATAAATTACAGAGAATTTATAAATGTCTTGTCATTTATCAATCAGGACTTTGTACTTTAGGTACAAAGAAATAATTCAATGTGAATGTATTTCTGAAATTAAACCTAACACATAAAAATTGAGATATCAACAAAATTGTAAGAAATAGAAAATAAATCCATCATATTTGTTGAAATCCTTTGAGGTAATAATAAAATGTTATAGTTTTTCCCCAGGGATTAAAGATGTTGCTTGAGAATGAATCAATTAAAAAGGCAGGTATAGGAATTGAAGGAGATCAGTGGAAACTTCTACGTGACTTTGATATCAAGTTGAAGAGTTTTGTGGAACTGACAGATGTTGCCAATAAAAAGGTAGATGTAATATCAAAATTTATAAAGAAAACCAATTTTTCTATTTCATAGAATGTACCCTCTGTCTGAATTTTAGAAAAATTTTGAGGAACTAATGTAAACTGTGTAATATTTTTATAAAAATGAGGCTTCATAACAAAACCCTTCAGTTTTAATCCATTGCCTTAGCATACAGCTTCTTTAAGCTTATTCTTCAATATCGGTACTATTTCACATTTCAAATTTAAATATTTCTTTAATTCATTTATACCAAATAACTTATTTTAAGGGGAAGCATATGTAACTCTGGGGTATGATGCTTTTAGTGGAAGTTCAGTCAGTTCTACCACCTATTATTTCCCATATTTTTTGATGTTATCATTAAGTTCTCATATTTGATTGGGAAGTAGGAAATCTACTAACCTACTTTGCTTTTTTTCATGAAAAGTACCCATTGTAATCTCGGATTTTAATATCTGTATTGAATAAATTCCACAGTTAGATTCTTAAAATATGAGTTGTACATGAGGTGTTTTTTTTAAGTGATAGGAAATATGTTAAATACTACCTTTTGATATAACATTTCCAATTTTATTCGTGTCATGGCCATTTTATAGCATTTAAGAGTATCTGAAAATTAAAGGAAATAATTTTTACTATGCTGATTTTTCATTACTTCTAGCTGAAATGTACAGAGATGTGGAGCCTCAATGCTTTGGTTAAACACATCTTAGGTAAACAGCTTCTGAAAGACAAGTCTATCCGCTGTAGCAATTGGAATAATTTTCCTCTCACTGAGGACCAGAAACTGTATGCAGCCACTGATGCTTATGTATGTATTTCAAGATCTTAATATTGTAATGTATTTTTAAAACCTTGTAATAAATCACAGAGAACTTATGTACACAAACTTAACTAAATATTTTAAATGAACTTTGCATTAAAAACTCTTAGGCAGACACCTAGTGAAACTGTTAATTCTCAATATTCATTAGCAAGTACCAGTGAACAAATTGTCATGAAATCAAAGTGAAGTGCAATTTGCGTGTTATGATTATGCGTTATCTGAAAGCATGAAAAACTAATAAACTCAGATAGTATAAGTACAAATTGTAATGATGATGTATTTGATTTATAAACAACTTCAGAATAAAAATTACCAGGCAATTTCTATATTGGAACTGGCCTTATTTTTATATTTACATTTGAAGGCTGTTAGAAATTTAGAAAAACTCTAAATTTTGCTTTTCACTGTTGGTAGTCAGATATATTTTCATATTTACATATTCATACATAGTGAAATCTGGATTTGTTAAATCTACTTTTAGGAATGGAAACTCCCTTTACTTATAAATAGAAAAAGATCCAATTTTGCTGCAAAATAGGGCAATGGTTTTCCTTTATGTTCTGTTGTTAAAAATTAATGAAATTTACAATTGAGATGGCAAAAAATGTACAAAATGATGTAAATAAACTCAAATTATGAAATTTGTTGAAAACTAGTACAAATTCTTTAGCATTTTTTAACTATTTATATAATAGTTTGTTTTTATATCATTTGTACATTTTTTATATCAGTTGATCCCTGTGTCTTTTGCATTTTTATTTATGTAAAATCAATGTGACTTAATTGTTCCTATTAGAAGCATCTAAAAGGAACAGTGTTCTTACTAACATTCTCAGCTAATTTAATGATAGAGAAATAAGTATGTGAAACTAAAAAAAATTTCTCTCACCTGATTTATATTGTTAGATTCCACTTACACATTTTTTGATTTGGATAACATTGAATGTCAAAATCTGAAAACTGAAACTTGTTTCTCACTGTTGGTGTGGTGATTAAATGAAGACATTTAGATACTGGTGTAACATTTTTGGTTAAATTCAACTTTTGAGGTACCTTAGGAATCATTATTTTGGTTATCATTAGTATTTTCTTTTCATTTTGTATTTTTGTAGGCAGGCCTCATCCTTTATCGAAAATTACAAGTTTTAGGTGATGCTGTGCAAATGTTTGCTTTAAACAAAGGTATGTTATAAAAATAGAAGATAAAATTCTATTTAAATTTAAGTTTGAATTGAATTTAATCTAATTCAAATTTCTTTACTGAAATTTATCTCCCAAAACATTTACATATGAGTGAATTATCTGTTATTATTCTAACTTCTTGAGTATGTGAGCAATATTAACATTCAGGTGAGATCTGTCTGGCCTAAACTTAGGGGTTCAGTCATGATAATGTGGCAAAGCAGGACTTACTATTTTATTTTGTAGCTTTGCTATTAATTAATCTGAGAGTTTGACTTTGATAATCAATGATCTAATCAGCTAATTCTTAGTCTGGAAATTGTATACCCTTGCTATAAATCTTTCGAATGTAGGAGAGAACATTGGTGATATATTCCATGACATCAATGATAAACATGTTTTGGAGACTCAGTTCCTGTGGCAAGATAATAAATAAAAGGAAAAGAAAACAATTGGGCTTACCTTAGATTAAAAAGATTTTATGCAGGGAAAGAAAGTATAACTAGACTAGCGAGATCCTGCTGAGTGGGAAAAAATATGACCTGTTACATACCAACAAGGGGTTAATATTCAAGATATATATAAAATTCATACAACTAAACAGTAGAAAAATAAGCAACCTAATTAAATGGACAACAGATCTAACAGGCAATTCATCAAAGAGGATATCCCAAAGGCCCAGTGTTCATCTTTACTTTCAGTAGAGATGCAGATTAAAAACACAGTGAGATACCATCTTATACCTGTGAGATTACACAGTGAGATACCATCTTATACCTATTAGAAAGACCCCTAGTGATAAGTGATAAAGAGGATGTAGCGAAAAAGGAAGGAACTCTGTTACATTGTTGTTGGAAATATAAACTGGTATGGCCATTATGGAAAGCAACCTTAAAGAACTAAACATGGGCCCTCCCTAGTAGCACAGTGGGTTAGGATACAGGACTGCAAGCTAGCCACAGCCCTTCAGTGCAGGTTCTATCCCTGACCCTGGAGGTGACTCACATGCCACAGCAGACCTCTCCTGACCCACTGCTCCCCTCAGCAGTGTACTTTGTTGATTTGCCTGTTCTGCTCCTCACTCTGTCTCTGGTGAATCCTTTTAATGCCGCTGCACCTCTGGCCTGTAACCCAGTCTTGTATGCATAAATAAATAAATCTTTAAAGAATAAAACCTAAAAATGGAAATACCATACGTTTCAACAATCCTACTCTTAGGTATCTACTGAAGAACATGAAGCTATCAACTCAAAAAACTATTCTCTACTTGGCTTATTGTGGCATTATTTATAATAGCCAGGGCATGGGCAACTGAAATCCCCAGTCAGTAGAAGATTGGATCAAGATGATTTATGCCTACAGTTTGGAATATGATTCAGCAACAAGAAAAGTGAAGTGTTAACATTTATAGTAAAATGAAAGGAGACTGAGGGAATTATGTGTAGTAAAGCAAGTCAGAATGTCAACGATAAATATTGGATATTTAGATATAAATCTTTGAAAGTATAAGATTGTTTAATAATCCTCTGGTCTAAATTTCTAAATTTTCCCTAGTGTAGAAAAACTCTGCTGTTTTTCTCAAAAGAATGACTTATGGTCTGTTTTAGATATCTTGATAGATCATGATATTGATCTGTATAGTAGAGTGAAAGACTGGGCTTTATAGGCCAGTGGAAGAATCCCAGCCATATGAGTTGGAGTTTACTTGTTTCCCTATGTTTGGAATGTGGATGATGACATGTCTACTTTATAGAGTAGTTTGAGCTCTAGTAGGGGCACAGTAGTGAAGTAGGTACAGACAGTACTTAAAAAAGTGAAGCTGGATAAGGTGAAGTAGGGAATAAATAGAATGAAGAACTGAAGAGAACAAAAGATTGACATCGAGGGCATGCCAACATTTAGAGGTCAGGAAGAAGTCAGGAAGAGTGCAGATGATAATGGCTTGAGAAGGAGCAATCATGAAGAATGCATTTTAAGAGGCATTGTCTTCAAATCCAAGTGAAAAATGTTTTAAGTAGGAGGAACTTATTGACTGTTTTAAATATATCTGAGAGTTAGAGTGAGATGAGGAACTAGAAGTAATAAATTTGACAGTGTGGAGACCATTGGTAACCTTTCTAAAAGCTACTTTGCTGTACTGCTGGGGATGAAAGCTTAGTTGAAGTCAGTTTAGGAGAAAATGGGAGTAGAAAATTGATTAAGTATGTATGAATAACTCTTTCAAGGAGTTTTTCTATAAATGGAATTAATATGATACAGACTATTTAGCAGATTGGTGATATAGAAACTGAAGATATTATTTATATCTATTCTCTTAGGGGAAATAAGAGGTGGATTTTGTTAGAGGCTTGAAAAGAAAGAGTTTTGAAATAGTCATTGTGAGAGGGGAAAAATAGGAAGTAGAGAATAATTATCAGTACTGAGGGTTCATTTGAGATGTGTGTCATATGATTCAAATGAAATGAGTCAAAGCTTTGTTTTATTTTCAACTATGTTCAACTACTTAGATATAGTTATTAAATAGGTTGAAATATAGATTTAATTAGAGTTGGGTTTTGTCATGTAAAGTACCACATGAGAAGAGAAAAAAGAACCGAGGGTCCATAAAAAGGAATGATTATTATAATGTTGGTAAGAAAGGAAAGTAAGACATGATGGGTAGTAGGAGAAGGATAATGGGTAAGGAAAAGGTGATAAGACCAATGGATTTGGTTCTGAAAGTGTTCAGTAATTCTTGTATTGGGGAAAGCATGCTGGGAAGAAAGATTGCATGCTGGTATTTAGAGGGTAGAATGCTAACAAGTAAAGTCTGGAAGTTGTTACTTTATTGGTAATTATAAGGTGTAGGGAATCACTATGGAAGTAGGTGACCTGAGATGATAGGTCAAGAGAGGGAAAGATTGATGGAAATGGAAGAACCTAAGGAACTGAAAACCTCATGTTTTTGGATGGAGTATCTCTGTGGATATTGATATCACTAGGAGTTAACACAGGTCTAGTGAAAGTGAATCAGGGAAGTAAATCTTTAATGAATGAAAGGATATTATTTTGAGATCACAAGACTTCAACAGAAGTCAGGTATAGCAAAGGCTATGGTCATATATGTTTCAGGGGAGCCAGGCTTTTTGAAGGATGAGAGAAGTGGTGATGAAGAGTAAGAAATTTAAAAAGGGGAAGGGCTTGCAAGAAGAGGGCAGGTTTTGTAGTTTTGACGGAGAATGTTATACCGGACAGAATGAAATGAGTGTTTAGAAGATGTTCTCTGATTAGAAAAGCTTACATATTATTTTGGTGATGATTGTTAATAAGGGAGTGCGGGATGGCTGTCAGGGTAAAGTTGTAAGGAGCAGCTCACACATTGTTATATTGATTTCTGATTTTCGAAAGTGCCCAGGGTTTAGATCGTCATTTCTATCTTTTCCTTTTGCCTAGATTAATAACACATTTATTCGAAATAGCAAAAATTCAAAAGGAAATAAAGTAACTGAGATAATTCAGAGATAGGATAAGTAAGTCTTTTTCTTGGAATTTATTTAAGAAAAAAAAGGAAAATGTGAGTCTTGTTACTGTTCAATGAGGCAGCTAGGTGAATGCCTCTGCATTGTGGTCTGAAAGTTAATATTGATTCTTTTTCAGAGGAGGAAATACTGCCTAGTGTTGTGAAGAAACAGTTGACTTCAATCTCTGAAGAGATGATGGATCTGGCTAAGCATCTTCCTGACACTTTTAGAAAATTGGAAAACCCACAGAGGTTAAATACTATCTATTTTTTAGCAATTCTGTTTGTTCTTACATTTTCTTATGTGAAGAATTACTTTTCATTCATGTAGACTCATACATGATTTTCTTGAATATATATATACACACACACACACACAGACTGATGTATATATTAAGGAAATATCATTTCATTTGTTAAACTGTGTATTAAAAGTTTAAGACTTTTCTGTCCGTTTTGTACAATGTTTTATGGCATCTTTCATTTAATTATAGTTTAGTTACTTGAAATCTTTAAATGCAAATTTTATACTTAGTTATTTCATTTTTATGGCTATTAACTGAGTATTACTTAAGAATTCTACCTAATCAGTTGATCAGAAGAATTCATATTTTAACAATCATTTTGAGTAGGGCACTGGATAGCTCCTCATACTTGGACAATTGGTACTGTGTAGCTAATTCTCTTTGGAAGCAGACCTTATCTTAGTCTTAACTGCTAAATGACATCTATTGTCAAATTCCTAATAGCAGTAATGCACTTGACTAGTGAACATTTACAATGTAATTTTTACTAAAAATACTTTATAGAAATATGAAGCTATTAGGACCTCCCTGGTGGTGCAAGGGGTCAAAGCGCAGCACTGCAGAGCTATCCATTCCCACTGCAGCACCATTCCATCCCTGGTCAGGGGCTGACTCAAAACTCAACTGCATTTCCAGCAGAGGGTACAGGGTTACATTTGTAGCATGTTTGCTTTTTGTTTATAGATACAGTTTGACAAGTTTGGATATCCATTTAAAACTAAAACTAATGTGGAAAAGGAATGGGATACACATGACTGCAGCTTGGAATTATAACCAACAGTCTATGAAGGAGTGGGCAAAAGTATAGAGAGTAGAACTAGCTAACTAATAATAGTGCAATTTGAGTTTTTACAAAGGGAAACAATTTTGTACTACCTTGTATAATATACTTGAAGCAATGAATCCTATGAGTTTAAAGATTTCTCCTCCAAATTTTTAGTTATTTTGATTATAGTTAATCAGACAGAACTTTTTTTTCCTTAGGAAATTTACTACATCTTTCCATCTGTTCAATTTGTGTGTGTTTATGTATCATTGATTTGACCTACATTTAATTAATTTAAATGCCATAAAAAGTACAGTTGACACAAACAATTAGATTGGGACCAAATACTATAACAGTTAGTAAACCTACTTGCTACAGTTTAATGCAGAAAGTGCCTAAGTAACAATACTGGAGGGTAGGTTACCAGCTAGCTGTAAGTATATAGTGAGCATTAGAAAAACAACTTTAATCCATTGTGTTCTTTAAATGAAGGACATTTTAAAAGGCTGCTATTAAAAAGCATTAAAACATGGCCTTCTAGTTAATGTAATTAATGTTGTTAACATTTTCAATTTTTTAGGGTTTCCATACTATTGAAGGATATTTCAGAAAATCTGTTTTCATTGAAGACAATTATATTTAGCCCCACTGACACAGAAACTGAACTGCAACCCATCAGTGATTTTAGCTTATCACCACTGGAAAATCCAACTGCTGGTGGTGGAGTACCACAAGAACAAATTAGAAAACATAAAATTTGTACTGAAATTGATGAGGAGAGATGGGATACAACAATTGATAATTTAATTGGATGTGATGTGGAAAATATACTTGGAAATAAAGAGAAGCAAGAAGAAAATAAATTTGAAGATGGATTAGAAGATAATAAATTGATAGAGAATACAAAAAGGACTTGTTTGATGTCATTAGACATTACAGAATATGAACTCCAAATTCTGGAACAGCAGGCTCAGGAAAAAAACCTGAGTGATGTTATTTGCAAGTCTCCTGAGGTAGAGAAAACAATTTTTATTCACTAGTAGTTTTTTTTTTTCTGTAAGTGGGCAGGTAATAAATATGGTAGGCTTTGCCAATCACAAACCTGTGTTTTAAAAACTTAGTGTTGCCATTGTAATGTGAACCCAGCTGTAAATAAATCATGCTGTATTTCAATAAAACTTTATTTATAAAAGCAGAAGTAGGGCCCTCCCTGGTAGCGCAACTGGTTAACACACTACTGTAAGCGAGCCTCAGTTACTTCAGTGCAAGTTCAATCCCCACCCCTTGGAAGTGACACACATGGCATGGCAGACCTCTACTGTCTTGCCTGCTGCTCCCCTCAGCAGTATACTTAGTTGGTTTGTCTCTTCTGTTCCCTTCTCTGTCTCTAGTGAGTCCTCTCACTGTCCATGTACCTTTGGCCTGCACCCCAGTTTTGTATGGGTAAATAAATAAATCTTAAAAAAAGGCTGGATTTGGTCACAAAGCCATAGATAACTGCTTTTGATCTAATGCTAAAAGTAGCATTATACAGTGGAAAAATTTATAGTGTTAGTATATATGTCTTGTAACTTGTTTGTTTAGCCTAATTATCTTTTTTTTTTTTTTTTTGAGGATTATATAACTACAAGTGTTTCTTTTTCCAAAATTGAATTTGGGAATTTTTATTTTCTCATACAGATTTTCTTGGTAGTATAAGAGGGTTTTAATAATATTTTTGTTTGATTCTTCTTTTGCCTAGAGTCAGTTAGCTATGTCTTTCTGAATAGGTTATTGTTAAACATTTTTATTATTTCTCAATTTTATGTTTAGATTTATAATTATTATACTAGATGTGATTAATTTATGAGACTTTTTTGCTCCTAGCTAAGGTAAGCATGATTTTCTTGAAATAGTGAAGTGTCCTGTACTGAAAAGACAAGTCATATAGCTCATTTGTTTTCCTTAGTTAAAAATATTACCTATGATACTCAGAATCTCTCAAAACCTAAACATTTTCTTTTGCAATAACTGTTACACATTTTTGAAAAAATTAAATTTGGAATTCATTTATTTCTACTCTTTTTTTTTTTAAAGATTTATTTATTTATTTGTGCATACAGAACTGGGGTACAGGCCAGAGACTCAGGGGCGGCGAGAGGCTTCACCAGAGACAGAGTGGGGAGCAGAACAGGCAGATCTACGAAGTACACTGCTGAGGGAAGCAGCGGGCGGGCCAGGAGAGGTCTGGCTCGCCATGTGGTGCGGGAATCGAACTCATGCGGAAGTGGCTTCAGATTCTCAGTGCTGTCTGTGCTTTAACCCGCTGCGCCACCGGGGAGGGCCATTATTTCTACTCATTTTTTAATGACAAAGTCTACTCACTATTTGAGAAATTCTCTGCCTTTTGGTAACTATTTAGTAATCACTTGTATTAGTGTATAAATAAATTTTATTTTAAAATTTCCCCCATGTATTCTCACCATTTGTAAAATATTCACCTTTTGAAAAATATCTTTTTTTAAATGTATGCATTAACCTTTAATTTTCTTTAAAACGATACTTTAAAATCATTTTTATAAGCTTTTATAAAATTGTGGTCAGGTGCTTATGATCTGAATGATATATCTTACCTCAGTCACTGCCATTTTTTATTATCTAATAATAAAATTTTTTCCTCTTTATTCCTTGAGGATATCATTTAAAAAGTAAAATAATTTTTCTCATATAAAATTTGTTCTGAAACTATTTTCTTAAAGCTTTTTTTTTTTGTAGATTAATTAAAGCTGTGCTTTATTTTCTCACTGCCTATTTAAAAAATGGACATTATTTTGGGTCCTTCTATATATTCCCTTTGTGGATTTTTTGTGATTCCCTTTGTGGATTTTTTGTGCAGGTTCTCATCCTGTTGCACTTTTACTTCCTGAGTATAGCCAAAATACTGTAAAGTTTTTCATATCCCAGTATTGTCAATAGCAGAATAAATATCTGACACCGTTTTTTCAAATATATGCAAATGCTCTTTTGTAACATAGTGATTTATATGAAGATAAAATTACAACCATAGTAGCTTTTTGCGATCTCCTGACTTTGTACAGAATTTTCAGCATAGTAAAGAGGTTCTTAAATGTAGAAGTTTGGGAACACAGCTTGACAGTATTCAATCATAGTCCAACTTGTGACCTTGTGTTCTCATTTTAGCTTAAGAGCTTTATTTGAAGTCTTTATCTTGTCTGTCTTTCCAAGTATATTTCTTTCTTTTTTATTGGTTCTTTATTCTGTTTTTTCTATTTCTCCTTCCCTAGCACCCCTTCTCTCCTTTTTCCTTGCTACTTAACATATAAACATATAAATAGCAATTAAATTTTATCTGTTAGAAAAGAGGAAGTTGTCTAGATATCTACTATATAGAAAATTTGACTTGTAGAAAAGACTATGGAGTTGATTATACTAGAAATTAATGTTTGAAATACTTGTTTTAAAGCAATCATCTCCCAAAAATAGTGAAGAAGATATTTCTTATGTTATTGAAAGTGATGAAGATTTGGAAATGGAGATGCTTAAGGTATGTTTAAAACTATGGAAAATTAATTCAAATTCTTTACAAAGAAAATTTAAGTAAATACTTCCTAATTCTAAACTGGTTCTACCATAATGAGATTAGGATCAATTATTTTGTTTTCTAATTCATATTTATATATGAATCATGAATAATGTTTTAGAAATGGTATACTAATTTTGCATACTAGAAAATCTCTGTTCCCTCATAGGTCACTTAATTTTAATATTTTTCTGGAATGTAGTTAGTTTTCAGCATTACAATACTGAAGTATCAGTATTGTTTTTCCATCCATCTAAAATTTCTCTTTTATCTGGAAGGTTTTCCATCCATCTAAAATTTCTCTTTTATCTGGAAGTTCTGTTTTTTATACATTCAATACTTGTCATTATTTGGTTTTACTTTATGGATATTTTTTATTTATTATATGTGAACCTCTAGTGGGTCTGGTACCTGGGGCATGCCTGTGAAGGACAAACCAGAGGGATGACTGCTGTGTCCAGCATGCAGTGAATCTTTATTCTGCAGAGTGCTCTTTATATACTCCACACTGTCAAGCTGTAACAATAGCTTCTTGACTTATTCTAACAAACTATCTGGTGGTCTTATTCTTGGAACACTGTGTCTAGCCCCAGATGGCCGAGCCCTAGCACCCACATGGACACTTCTCTTGATAAGCTCTTTTGCCATCTTTCTCAGACGTGGCTGTGCTTGCATGACCTATTTTCTCACATTCTTGGAGCTCAGACCCACCGCTCGAGAGCATTCCCCCAAGGTGCATGCCACTTTCACATGCCTTTCAGTATCTAAGTCCAGGTGCCAGTCAAGGTCATACAAGAGCTCTGCCAACAATGATATGTGTATATATTAATAAATATATATAATTTTCTAAAGTTTAAATGGTTTAATTTTACACAATTTTATTATCATAGTTGAAATATTTTGTAATTTATGTATTTTCTACCCCTTCACTCAAGCTACCAGTTTTTTTCACTCAGTCTACCAGTTTCTTTGTAAGGTGTTGTCTACCAGGGTTATAAAAAACAAGGAATAGCCTGTTTAGCTAAATTAAGTGAAAACTGAAGTGAAACACATTATATATAATTTTTAACTTTATGTATAATTTTTATTACTCGCCTTCAGATCAGTATGATTCTTTTTATTATAAAATGAGATTGGGGCCCTCTCTTGGAGGCGCAGTGGGTTAAAGTGCAGCAGCACCAGGAAGCTGTCTGCAGCAACTGCAGCACAAGTTTGATCCCTGGTCAGTGAGGTGACCCACATGGTGTGACAGACCTCTCTTGACCTTCCCACCCCGACCTCGATGCTCCCCTATGCCAGTGTATTTCAGTATATCTGCCTGTTCTGTTCTCTACTGTATCTCTGAATCCTCTCACCCCCAGCACCTCTGGCCGGAACCCCAGTTTTTGTATGCATAAATAAATAAATCTTTAAATGAATAAAATGAGATTATGTTTCTGTTTCTTTAGTTTTGAGGCAGAATAGTGGGTAGTAATTAGCAATGTGGATTCTAAATTTAGATACAAATTTGAATTTCTGTTTCTTTTTAAAGATTTATTTATGTATGCATACAGAACTGGGGTAAGGTCAGAGGTTCAGGGACGGTGAGAGGCTTCACCAGAGACAGAGTGGGGAGCAGAACAGGCAGACACACGAAGTACACTGCTGAGGGGAGCAGCAGGGGAGGTCTGCCATGCCATGTGGATCACCTCTGGGGTGGGGATTGAACTCATGCTGAAGTGGCTTTAGCTTCTTAGTGCTGTGCTACCAGGGAGGGCCCCTGTTTCTCCTTTTATTAACTGTGTGACTTGGGGCAAGTTTCTTAACTGTTTTATTATTTAGTTAACAATTACAGTTATCAATGAGTATTACTTATGGAGAGTTGAGTATAGAAGCCAGCATTTTGTAAGTGTTCAATAAACATTAAGAGTAATAATAGACCATGAATGCTAATCAAGGTTTCTTTATTAATTAATCATATGATAATAAAATTGGGTAAAAATATGCCATTTAAATATTAGAAAACTATAGCTGTGTTGATGGTTAATTGATAAAGTAATTTATCTGAGGCATGCTGATCAGCTAATATGTCTGTAGAATATGTGTGGACTTTTACAAATACATATTGAACATCTTGGGAAGCAACCTGAATGCCTATTTGACAGAGCTTCATTTTCAAAATGATTTTCTATAAATATTTATGAAATTGAATAAAAAACATTTTTTTTTTCTTTTGTGGTCCTGAAATAATACTACAAAAACCAAAACCCAAAGCCTCTAGAGTCAAATTTGTTAAATAGGAGATTTAATAAAAGAAAAGATCGTGTAATTGTGGTTTAAGAATTCTTTGTGTCACTTCTCAATAAAATTTTTAAAAAATACATAATCTTTATTTAGGGGAGGAAATCTGATACCAACAAGCCAATATAAAAACAAGTAACTTTTTTTCACATTTGTAATATCCCTTTCCTACTATTTTTTGAATCTTTTTTTCACATTTCCAAAAACTACTTTTATTGTTTAAATCTTATACTTACTCAAAAACAATGTGACTGACCTGGTAATTGAGCAACTGATTATAAAAATAGCATTAAAATCCACATTTATGAATTGGGAATTGAAAATACTGAAGTATGATAAAGAAAAAAAAATGCTTATTGGTCTAAACTCAAAATTTATATAACTTTCCTCAGGGCTGTTCACTATATGCTATTAATGAGCCTTGTTTATGCTGGAAAAATTCCATCTTTGGCCTTGTGCCTTAGAAACCATTCTTGAGCACATTTAACTGGAGCGCACATGTTCTTTTGTGATATTGCTTCCACATCTGCCAGCTTTGAACAAAATTGTAGGCTCTGGTAATAATACTCCTTTTGTGTTTAGTGAAAAAAGATGACACTGTCAGTGGTTTTGCCTTTAAAATTTCTTTTTAACTTTCAGTCTTTAGAAAACTTAAATAGTGACACAGTAGATCCAATTCATTCAAAATGCAAAGAAAGGGAAACAAATCTGGGTCTTCCTTCTGAACAACATGAAGATAAGAATGAAGCTATTGAAGAGGAAGAAGATGAAGAAGTTGAGTATGAAGGTATTGAAGAGGAAAATGATGACGGTGAGTACTAACCTATTTAAAATGACTCAGCTGTTACTGACTTTATTTTGGTGTCTATTTTGACGTCAGGGTTTTGTGTTATAAGATTGTTAGGGCCTAAAAACTTTTAAATGTCTTAGTGCTTTGGTCTTTATGAGACATAATTAGGCTTTATAAAGGTAAGTCATAGTAATCTTGTATCATTTTGTTAGGGGGTAGAGTTCACAAAACCTGTGTCTGTTTAGTGTGCCATTGGGGTTCCAAGTCAGTGGAACTGGTAGGATGCTCTAGTTAACTTGTATCTCTCTCTCTCTTCTCTTTTTCCCTGTTGTTTTTTTTTTTTTTTTTCCCCTTGTGAATAAGCCCATTATTGATCTTTTTGTGTGTATCTGCAGTACAGTTCAATCTTAAGTGTGTGGGTAAGGACCCACAGACAGGCATCCCAATTCACTTTGGGTTGCCCTGTAACAATTTGATGAATATGGTGGTAGAAAACTTTCATTCTGAATTTTATATTTTGTTTATCAAAGTCAAAAGATCATCAATCAAACAATCATTACATTTAAAAGTATAGAAAACAGTAAGCTTTTGTACCTACCACTATTTTGTAAACAACATAGATAGATACATAGTATCTGTTCTTAAGGAATTTATTATTTAAAACAAGTGGTACAGAGATAGTGAAATGCACTAATTTTTACATTGTGTATATTGAATGTATTAAAAAAGTTACTAAACAAACCACCTATTATTGCTGTGTAATAGTATTCCTATGGTAAACTGTAAGTTCTCATAAAGCAGAACTCTCCCTAGAACTAGATTGATTAATAATGTGGAAAATTAAAAATGGATGGAGAGTGTCTGAAAAATGTGTTCATTTTCTTTTGTTAAACATAGATGTGATATCTGCAAATCAATTTAGTTTTCTGTTTAGAATTGTTAAAACTGAGAAGTATGATAATTTCATTTGTTTAGAGATGAATTTTCTCTTTGTTTGTTTTGCTCTTTCTTGGCTACACATGAACCTTTCCACTCTAGTGGATCATGGTTATCAGTTGGTTAAAACTAACATAGCTGTTATATACCCGAGACATTTTATGGGATGGATTGGGGAATGGGATCAAAAAAGTGAGGGGAAGGGAAATGCACACATGGATGGTTTGGTGATGGGAAGCCCATGGGGATTACAACTGAGATGGAAAAAGGCACAAAAATGATGTAAAATAAACTTCTGTTATAGATAGATATATAGATATAAAACTAACATAGCTGTATTGTACTATGTAGTTAGAACTTTGGTCAAAGATTTGGTGGGGTAATGACTAAAGTCAGGACTTTATTTTTGGATTTTATTTGTAACACTAACAATTTCTGGTTATCTTTCATTGAAAGTTGGTTATTTTATGAAATTTGGATAGATATATTGCTTGAAATGGTTGAGTCTAAATGTTAACTTTTGGAATTATAGAAAATTCCACAAGCACTTTTTTTACAGTGCTGGCAAAGTGTGAACCATAGTAAAGTTCTAAACCTTAGTACTAGGTAGTAAGCAAAGTGTTTATCTGAAATGTTGACTAGTACCTGGAAGATCAATTTGGTTAAATAAAAGACTAGAAAGCAGTAGCCTTTTGTACCTATAACTATATTTTTTGCAAGGAGCAAATGCCACAATTTTTTTCTTCTCTCTTAGCTAGTGTACTTCTATTTTAACATGAACATCCATTTTATTTTAAGACCGTTCACTGCCGGGTCCTAATGCAGAGCAAATTACTTGCCTCAAGACCTACTTTGGCCATTCTAATTTTAAGCCGTGAGTATAATTGCAGTTTTTTTTTTTATTATTTTTCTTCTTATAGAAATAAAAGTAGTCCATTCATTTAAGAGTGACTGAATAAGTCATATTACATGCTACACTGTAATTCCTGTGACTACAGAATTATTTTACAGTAGTATTTATATGTCATTTTTATGCATTGCTTTTATAATAAAAAATAGTTTTCTTTTAGCATAGAGAGTTCTGAGTAGAACCTGGTTTATTTATTTATTTTTAATTTGACTTACTTGTTCCTGAAGTACCATTTTACCACATCCTTGCTATTTTAGAATCTGGCTTAAATGCATTAACATCTTTTGCTCCATTCTTATCCTTATTTGTGCTTTTTAAAAGTTTTGCTACAATTTATACTTTTAAAACTTTTGCTAAAATTTATATACAAAGAAATATGTAAATTTTAAATGTGTGCTTGCAAATCTTAAATTTATACACATAGAACCATGAAACCTAAACCCTTATCAAAATAAAAGTGCAAATACAATAGAAAGTTTCTTCATTTACCTTCTTATTCAGTCCTTGCTCCCAAACATTTCTCTTATTCTACTTACTGGATATTTAGTATGAAATTTAGAATTTATTTATACTTTAAATATATGTAAAAAAATCTTACTATATATACCAATGAAAACTTCTAGTTGTTCATTCAGCTTGGATACTGTGACTCTTTAAAAGTTACAGGGTTCTTACATTTTTATATTGAAGCTCAACAATGTAAAAGAAATTGTATTGGAGGAAGTTAAAAAATTAAATGATTTCAACTTATCCCTCAAGTTTCTTGTTAGTAAAACAAAACAGCATTTTGCTTTGCACCATCTAGGGTTCAGTGGAAAGTTATTCATTCTGTTTTGGAAGAAAGAAGAGATAATCTTGTTGTCATGGCAACTGGTAAGTTGTACTTAAGCAAATAAGCTAATTCTTCACAAACAAAACTTAAAGATTTTGAAATGTTTAGTTTTTTATTGGTCTGCAATGCAATACAAATGATGTTAAATATAGAGTGAGAGTGGGTGCTCAGACTTGTATGTGTATTAGCTGTTAGGAAGATAGCATAGATCATTCATACAGGTATATTAGAAGTCATAGTGCCAAGTCATTATTTGATTGCTATGAATGCAATATTTTTATTTCTAGGATATGGAAAGAGTTTGTGTTTTCAGTATCCGCCTGTTTATGTAGGCAAGATTGGCATTGTCATTTCTCCTCTTATTTCTTTGATGGAAGACCAAGTGCTCCAACTTGAGTAAGTGATGTTACTTGAGTAAGTGATGTTTTCACTGTCAAATTATCGTGCATTTTTCTTCCATAAAGAAAACTTTTGATCTCATGTATGTTAAAGTCTAATTCTGAAAACGTTTCTGTAAATGTTGTGTTGGTTTATCTTTATTAGTAATAAATGATGCCTTAATGAAACAACTTACCTTCTTTCTTGAGTTCTTTGTAATGCCAGGATTACCAGATGGCTCTGGTAGAACTTGTTAAAGAGCAAACATTTGCTAGTTTACATTGCATATCTCAGAATTCTTTTCTCTTCCTTGCTTTTTATCCTGGGATGGAAGTATATATAGAAGTATATATTTTTTTATTATGAAAAATAATTAAACATTTTTAACCCACGCTTACAATATTTTTGAAAACCCCATCTTAACTTGCCTTCTAATATGGTCTTTGAAGGAATTTACTTATCAAATTATTGAGCTACAAGAACAGTGAGACTTGGAAAGAAGAGGAATATACATACTGTGTTTCTTTATATCTTCTTACTTAAGGATGAAGTTGGTCTTTGTAGTGTGTACTTGGCTTCAGAGAATAATTCTTTTTCTTCTTGCAGAATGTCTAACATTCCAGCTTGTTTTCTTGGATCAGCACAGTCAAAAGATATTTTAAAGGATATTGAATCGTGAGTAATTTATGTGATTTCTTTTTTTTTTTTTTTAAGATATATTTATTTATTCATACAGCACTGGGTACAGACCCTGGTGAGGGGCGGTGAGAGGATTCACCAGAGACATATTGGGGAGCAGAACAGGTAGGTTGGCGAAGTACACTGCTGAGGGGAGCAGTGGGCTGGTCAGGAAAGAGGTCTGCTGAGCCATGTGGGTCAGCTCCGGGGCAGGGGATCAAACTAGCACTGAAATGGCCAGCTTGCAGTGCTGCGTCCTAACCCATTGTGCCACCAGGGAGGGCCCAATTTATGTGATCTCTAATCATGTGGTCAGGTTTATGGTGTATGAAGGGTTTTGTACCCAAATTTTTAGTCAGTACATGAACAAAATTGTCCATGATATAAAAATATAAATTTGTATTGGTGCATTTGCAGAACTGTCATTTTAAAATCTTATAAGTAAAAGAAATCTATTATTTTCGATTCATAGACTGCAAGGTTAGCACTGTAATTATAGATCTGTAAAATTTGTGCGTTAGAAGTATAGAAGAAAGTTTTAGAAATGAGAAGAAACTGAGTAACAGAAAAAGTAACTTCCATTAAATTAATTCAGTGATTTGATAACTAAGTAGGGACTCTATTCTAGATCTTTCACCCTACAATTCTTTCCTAATGTAATTCTTAGTGGGAATAAAATTTCAGTAAAAAAAAATTTTTATGTGTGTGTGTATGGGTACAAACTTAAACCTACTATACACATATGTCAACATTTATATACATACACATATGCATTTACTGAATTTTGATAAATGTATACAAATACGTAACCCAGAACTATATCAAAACAGAATACTATTGTCAGGCTACTTTTCAGGCCAAGAAGTTCCTCTGTGCTCCTTCCGGCTATCTTTCATCAATGTAAACTATATTTCTTTTTAAAAAGTTTTATTTATTTATTCACACAAGAGCGGGGTACAGGCCAGAGGTGTGGAGGGTCAGAGGATTCACCAGAGACAGAGTGGGGAACAGAACAGACAGGTCTACTGAAATACACTGCTGAGGGGTGCAGCAAGTGAGACAGAAGAGGTCTACAGCATCATGTGGATCAGTTCCCTCTCTGGGGATCAAACTCCTACTGTAGTGGCTGTGGGTAGTTTTATAGTGCTGCACTTTAACCCCTTGTGCCACCATGGAGGGCTATAAACTAATATTTCTAATTTAAACTTCTATTTCTAACTTTATGATTTTTCTACCATAATTTTTTTCTGTCCTAGAACTTTACATACATAGTTATACAGTAGAAACTTTTTTAATGTCAGACTTCTTTCAGTTCATCATAATGTTTTGAGAATCTTGCATATTGTTGCTTATATTTGCAGTCTTTTTTTTTTTTTTTTAATGATGGAGTGTTTTGATGTGTTTTTTCATTCCTTAGAGATGGGCACCTTATCTGTTTCTAGCTTTGAACTATTAATGATAAAAATGCTGTATGCTTTCCTACAAAATCTTTTTTTGAATATTTTTTCCTAATCATTTTTAATATCCTTTTTTGAGGTAGTTGACAGAGAACAAATTTTATGTATGTAATATGTAAAAAATTGTTAAGTTTTGGCATATAAAAACCCATGAAACCATCTCATAACCCAGCTCCAAAGTTTATTCAGAACTTTTATCATACATTCATCTACTTTTCCCTATCTTCTGTACCATTCTGATCATGTTAACTGATCTGCTTTCTATAATTACAGATTAGGGTAGTTTATGTTTTCTAAACTGTATGTATACAGAATTAATCATAAAATGTGTTCTTTTTTGTCTGGTTTAAATCACATAGTTACTTTGACTTTCATTCATATTGTTGCTTGTATCAGCGGTTCATTCCTTTTTACTGCTGAATGGGTTATGATATATAAATTATCCACAATTTGTTTAATGTCACTATAATGTTCTTTGTATTCTCAGTAGTCCCTGATATTTGAATTGAAATCAGTGCACAAATATGTATGGGTATATACACACATGTGTAACATTTATTTAGTTTTTAGTAAGTGATAGAGTGTATTATTTAAAAATGTATCTAGTATTAATGATTTGGATAATCATTTTTCTTATTGTAGCTTACTTTATATATATATATTTTTTGTTTTCACAGAGGCAAATATAGGATTATATACCTAACTCCAGAATTCTGTTCCCATAACTTGGACCTACTCAAGCAACTTGAGGCTAATATTGGTAAGGGGCACAATGAGATTTTTATAACTGTCTTATTGAATTGAATTATCCTTTAAAGTGAACTCCCTGGATTGATACTGGATTTCACATCTCTTAAATTTATTTCTGCTCCTAGACCTCCCAGGTAGGACAGGGGTTAAAGACAGTGCTATCAAGCTATCCTTAACTATTTTAGCATGAGCTTGATCTCCAGCCACATGGAGACATTCCCTCTCTCCTCTGCTGTTCTTCCCAGCAGTGTATTAGTTCATCTGCCTTTTCTGCTCCCTACTCTATCTCTGGCGAATCCTCCCACCCTGTACCTCTGGCCTATACGCCAGTTCTTGTATGCATAAATAAATAAATCTTTAAAAAAATTATTTCTGCTTCCTCTACTTGGTGTCTCTCCTGTCTTTCCCAAAAGTGCCCTCTAATTTCTCTGTCATAGAAATAAAGTTCCTGTTTTATAATTACTTTATAGATATGTGTGTGTGTGTGTGTGTGTGTATGTATGTTTTCTTCTTAGTAGGAGAAAAAGCCTATAAAGAAAGCTAACGTATAAAGTTATTGAGGAGAAAATGCCATTTTCTTTGTATTTTTTAAGTGCAATTTCTCTCTCATCGTAGGCACTTAAATGTATTGTTGAATAAATGTTTAATCCTAGATTCTGTGAAATAGTAATTTCCTTTTTTTTTCATATTTTAAATATAAATTAGCTCTATATTGCCTTTTAAACTTTAGAAAAATGTAGGCAGTCAGCCTCTAACCTTGAAAATTCTGATTTAACATTCTTGGGATAGGACCCTGGTGTTCGTAGTTTTTCACAGATGATTCCAATGTATAACCAGGGTTGGAAACCATAGACCTTTGATTGTTTGCTACCCTGAGTAAATTAATTATGAGAAAAAAATAGGTGGCAAGTTTTAGAATTAGTAAAAAGCTGACACCATTTTTTTAAAGTTTTTTTTTTTGCCAGTTTTTTCCTTTCTAGTTGTTAAACTTAGCTATCTAATCTCTTAAAGTTGCAAATGCACCTTGAACTAACCAAATAATATTATATGATCTTATTGTATAGTTACATATTAAGATAATTCTGGATAGGTTAACTTTTCAACATGCAGCTTCTTATTTAGTTGTTACTTACATATTAACTGGGAGAGCATTAACATTTTTTTCTAAAAAATGTAATGACAACAAATTTTTATTTTTGTAGTATATGTTAAATGCCAACAAAAGCATGGAGGCAGGAATTAACATTTGTTTAAATATATTGTCAGAGTTCGTGCACTGGCTGTTCTGTTTCATTGCTTTTTTTCTTTTATGGGGTTAGTTAATAATTAGTTTAAGTATTTCCTTAGATCTTTTTGACAGGTACTTTTAATTCTCTGTTTTTGGACTGGATTAAATTATGTGATCAATTTAATTGCATATGTTCTTCCTAGTTGATGGTCAGTATTGAACAAAAAAAAGGATAAATTCTTTTTGGAGTATTTTTCTTTAGCATTTGTTTTCAAGAATTTGTAAAAGGCTTGTGTAAAAAGTATAGTCACGATTTTTTTTTTTCAATAACATTGAGCCACTTTACAAAAAAAAGATTTACTTATTTATGCATAAAAGTGCTGGGGTACAGGCCAGAGATGCAGGGCTGTGAGAGGATTCACCAGAGACAGAGTTGGGAGCAGAACAGGCAGGATGAGGAAATACATTGTTGAGGGGAACAGTAGGCAAGGCAGGAGAGGTCTGCTGCTCCATATGGGTTACCTTCCTGGATGGGCATAGCTTCTTTATAGTGCTGAGACTTAACCCTTTGCACTTAACCCCTTGCGCCACCAGGGAGGCCCCTAGTTAACCACTTTTTATGACAAATGTTAAATTATTGAGGTAGTATGAGTTTATAAGAGAAGCAGCCAACATAATTTTTTTTCGGAGACTCCTTGAAACTGAACACACTTGCAGTTGTTTTTTAATGTTGAAAATCTAACTTGAATGACAGATAAGCTACAATGAAATATGTTTGGGAAAATCTAACTTGAATGACAGATAAGCTATGTTTGGGAATTGGGTGGACACTTGCACTTTCACATGCAAAGTGAAGTATGGAAAACACTTACGTATATTAATTGTGTGGGACTAAGTTTAGCTCCATTAAAAAGCAGTCAGGGACCCTCCCTGGTGGCACAACAGGTTAGGACGCAGCACTGCAAGCCACCTGCAGCCGCTACAGTATGAGTTCGATCCCTTGCCCTGAAAATGATCCACATAGCACAGCAGACCTCTCTTATTTCACCAGCTGCTACTCTCAACATTGTACTTTGTAGATCTGCCTGTTTTGCTCCCCTTTCTGTCTCTGGTGAATCCTCTCACTGCCCCTCCACCTCTGGCCAAACCCCAGTTCTGTATGCATAAATAAATAAATCTTAAAAAAAAAAAAAAGGCAGTCAGATCTTTATTTTTTAAGATAGTTTTAACATGGGTGAACCATCATCATTGTTTTACCCTTTCCAAATAAAAATCTGGGTCATTTAGTTTATATAGCCAAAATAAATATAGTGGTAACTACTTTTTCCCATTTACTCAGTAATAACTGGAGAATTTTGATATTATTCAACCTATTTTGCTTCTATTTAGTAGGTTACTTTTTAATTCCTGCTGTGGCTCTCAGAGAATTGTAATTATTTATTTGCATGTCTGTCTCCTCTTTTAGAATTGTGAGTTTTTTGTGGTCATAAAATGCTTTTTAACTTTTTTAAAGATTTTTTTTAATTTATGCATACAGAACTGGGGTACAGGTACAGTGAAATGATTTGCCAGAGAGAGAGAGTGGGGACCAGAACAGGCAGATTGACAAAATACACTGCTGAGGGAAACGGGGTAAGTCAGGAGAGGTATGCTATGCCATGTGTGTCACCTCCCTGGCTGGGGATTGTACTGCATTGGCTGTCATAGCTTCATAGTGCTGTGCTTTAACAGCTTCATAGTGCTGTGCTTTAACCTGTTGTGCCACCAGGGAGGGTCCATATGTTGCTTTTTATTCCAAGTAAAGTGGTTGGATCAGAGTTGGCATTTAATAACCATATATAATAATAGTAATGTTTTGTTATTGAGCTCTTTTTTTTTACGCCAGGCTCTACCTTAACATTTTCTATGAATGATTTAATTTGCTGTTCCGAGTAACTAAAAAGTATAGCGTTCTTTTATTGTCCACTTTTTACTTATGAGAAACAGACTTGGAAATTTAAGTAACTTGCTTAAAAAATAGAAATGGTAAGTGACACAGCCAGGTTCTATATTCAGGTAGTCTGACTGTAGACCAAATGTTAATCAACACAGTAGTGGCAGAATGTCATTTAATATTCAGAATTAAGTAGTGATCAGTCTTATTGAAGGGAAAATTATTTTTGTCTTAAGTATTAATTTAGTATTCAGAGCAAAGGCGCTACGGTCATTATTTCAGAATATCTGAAGACATTTTAATGGCTGGTTATACAAAAAACCCTTTTCTTTGTTTTTTGATTTTTAAAAATATATCATACATTTTTTATATCATTCTTCATTATCATACAGTATAAGCTTTATCATCTCGTATATGAGCCCCAAGATATTCCGACCACGGATTCACCCATGTACAATCACCGTAGTCCCTTGTGCTTTTCACACCTCTGTTTTGATCCAGTGTCCTCCTCTGCCCCCTGGAGAATATATCTGGTTTATAATTGCCAGCTGATTTTGATTTTTACTTTATTATAAAACTTACCCATCCTCCATTCCTTATTTGGGTCCCCAACAATCCTCCTATAAGTGGAACCTTCAGGTATTTTTCTTTTTCTTTCTGGTTTATTTCACTGAACATAATCCCTTCCAGCTCCATCCATGTTGCTGTGAGTGGCATGTCTATCTTTTTTGATTGTTGAGTATATACCACATTTTCTTGATCCAGTTATCTACTTTTGGGCATTTGGGTTCTTTCCATAGCTTACCTATTGTAAATACACTATTTACTTAGTGTAATTATGTAAATAAATTTAGGGGTGCAGGTACTCTTTTGAATGAATGTTTTTGCATTCTTTCGGTATATACCCAAGGTAGGATTGCTAGATCATATGGGAGGTCCATTTTTAGCAGTTTGTGGGACCTTCACAGATTTCCATAGTGGTTGGCCCAACTTGTATTCCCACCAGAAATGTAGGAGGAGGGTTCCTTTTTCTCTACATCCTTACCAACATTGGTTGTTGCTAGCTTTTTAAATATGTGCCATTTGCACTGGTATGTCATTGTATCTTACTGTTGTTTTTACTTGCATTTTTCATATGCCCATTGTGTTTTCTGTTTGGAGAAGTGTGGTTTTAGCTCTTGTATGCCTGTTTTTTGACCAGGCTGTTTCCTTTGCTTTTGTTGATTTTAGTCAGCTTTTTGCAGATCTTCGTGATAAGTCCTTTATCATTAGTATTGTGTACAAAAATTTTCTCCCTGTTAGTGGGGTGCCTTTTTATTTTGGTTAATGTCTCTTGTTGTACAGAGGCTTTTTAATTTGATGTACTCCTAATTGCTTATCTTTTCCTTCATTATTTTTGCTTTGGGTGATGTGTCTTTAAAGATGTTACTAAGGTATATGTCATGTAGTGCTGTGCCTATATTATCTTCTATATATTTGAGATTTCAGGTCTTATATGTCTAGTTCTTTGACCCATTTTGAGTTGGATTTTATGCATGGTGTGAGGAGCTAGACCATAAAGTAGTCTAGCTTCATTTTTTCCAGGTAGTGGCTTAGTTTTTCCAGCACCATTTCTTTGTTCCACTTCATATTTGCTTCTTTGTCAAAGACTACTTGTCTAAATCTATGGGTTTATTTCTGTGTTTTCTATTCATTTCCATTGGTCTGTGTCTGTTTAGTTCCAGTACCATGCAATTTTGATTATTATGGCTTTGTAGTATAGTTTGAGGTCTGGGAGCGTGATACCTCCATTTCCCTTTTTAGTCAGGAGACTATTTTTTTTTAAAGATATTTATTTATTTATGCATACGGAAATGAGGTGCAGGCTAGAAGTGCAGGAGCAGTGAGAGGATTCACCAGAATTAGAGTGGGAACAGAACAGCCAGATCAACAAAGTACTGCTGAGGGAACCAATGGGCAAGACAGTAGAGGTCTGCTGCATCATGTGGATGCCCTCTGCGGCAGGGATCGAACTCACACTGAAGTGGCCACGGCTTGGCTTAGCTTCTCAGTGCAGTGCTCCGATCTGCTGTGCCACCAAGGTGGGCCAGTCAGGAGAAGTTTGTAAAGCCCTTTTCTTAAATGCATTACTGTACTATTGATTCTGTTTTATTGTAGGTGTGTGGTGTGGGGTTGGGATAGAGGGGAAAATAAAAGTTGCTAGGGAAAGAACAAATTGTCTTCTTACCTACTTTGTACATTATGAAATTTATATCTCCCCTTACACATTAAAAAATGTGGTTGTCATCCTTTCTTCCAAATATTGGCACTTCTGAAAAACTCTCTACAATATCATATGTGATCAATTATGATAGTTACGTACTTAATCTAAGTAGAAATGCAGAGACTTTTTCCATCTTTTTTGATGTTAATCCATGAGGTAAAATAAAGATATTACCAAGAAGAAATAAAACACCTTTTTTTTTTAAGGTGTTACTATTGTCTATGTTTCATTAGTGATAGTTGAGGGCATAGTAATGGTAACTCATTTCTCTGTAAAAATGATGAAAGTGAAATCCAATAAGTATGTTTTTTGAATAATCTATATCTATTTATTTATCTACCTATCTATCTCTATATATGTACACACACACACATACACACATTTCTTTCTTTTCTCCTTATGCCTTTAATCCATATATCTTCCTCTGTTCTCAGTAATATTTTTTTTGTATGAAACTTTTACTTTGATTTATGTTATTTTTCCTGTGATTTTTATATTCTAAGTGAAAAAATTGATACTTATTTGGATGGGTTTATTCTTTCTTAATGAACTTCAGTTTCCTCATTTCTATATTTTTCTCTTTAACAGGTATCACACTTATTGCTGTGGATGAGGCTCATTGTGTTTCTGAGTGGGGACATGATTTTAGAAATTCTTATAGGACTCTCAGCTCTCTAAAGGAAGTACTCCCATTGGTAAGCTTTGCCAAGCACAGTGATTTGAAATGATATTCTTATTAAGGGATATGGTGGGGTTGGAGAATGGCCCAAGAGCTGAAGAAAAGGCAATTTTCTTTGTGAAAAGGCAAATAAAGATGTAAGCAAGGGTTATAGCTTTGGTTTCCTTCTGGTGTATAATTTGTTGAGGAATAGTATACTACCAGGCTTTAGTAAACAAACCAGTATGATAGAGGAGTAGAATTGAGAAGCCCACAATTATATGGACAATCTGTGACAAAAGGGCCAACAGTGTATAGACTTTTTACATTTCTGAATTATTTTTTGTTTATGATTTACAATTTTGAAGAATTTAATACTGTGTTCAGAAGGCTGAAAAACAAATGAGTGTTTCTTTAAAATATATTTTTCATGCTTTACTTCTGTCACTTTATAAGAAGGTAATAGGAATGTTAGGAATTAATGAACTATATCTCATTCAAAGATACTAATTTTCCTTCAGGTTCCAATTGTTGCACTCACTGCTACTGCACCTTCTTCAATCAGAGCAGACATCATACAGTGCTTAAAACTGAAGGATCCTCAAATTACCTGCACTGGTTTTGATCGACCAAACCTGTATTTAGAAGTTGGGCGAAAAACAGGAAACATCCTTGAGGACCTGAAACAATTTCTTGTTAGAAAGGCAAGGTGTGCATTTCATGGTTCATGATTTTTGATAACTCATACCTTCTTTTATTATTCATCTTACTATTTCCTTCTAAGATATATACACCATATTTCAGAATCTACTTAGTTTTTGTTCAAATAAGTGTGATGTTATGTAATTAAGAGAGTTATTGAAGAAAAAGTCTGAATTTGAAGGCAGGAACTAATTCTACAGAATTTGAACTCTTGTGGTATTGCTTGAATGGAACATACACTTAATTGAAAGTTGAACAATAAAGACAAGAGTCTTTTATCCTTCCATCTAGTTCACTAATTGTGTGATTAATTTGAATATGAACTTAACTATTGATAACTATTGATGGTTAAACCCTCGTAATTTCTCAGAAAGCTACATATTATTTTCATCTGATAATAAAGTATCCTTTTTATTGTTAAAGGCAGTTTATAGGTATGCTGAGAAGCTTCCTCATAACCTTATTCTTTATTCACTATCTGCTCTGTGAAATGCTTATACTTTTCATGTTATAAATTGTGTTTTTAAATCAGAATATATTGAAATGATGTTTGTCCTATAAATAAAAACACAAATCAAATCTGGGCAAGTAGAACTACAGAACATCTTAAATGTTTTCCTTTTCAAAAAGGAATAAAAACATTGATCCTACATTAAGAAAACCTTGTGTCAACTCTTGGGGATCTTACTGAAGAATTTACATGTAGGATTTGTTTTAGGTTTGATTATCTTATATTCAGAATAAAACAAGAATGTAATGAAGATGTTCTCAGTGTTTTGGCTATTCCAGTCATATCTCTGCAGTTACTACTTATTGTGCTTCCTTTGTTTCCATCCTAAAGGGTAAATCCTTACTATTTACTCTAGGCTAGAGACTCCACAATCACGTCCTTATCTACTCTCCTAATAGTTACTCCTTACCACCCTCATTATTCTCATTCTCTTTGGTACTTTCTATAACTCTGTCTTTTGAAACTGTATTCATCTTTTAAGTTTTTTTAAAAGATTTTTATTAAAAGTTTTTTATTCATCTTTTTTTGTGACATTATGACATTCTATCTCAGTGTTTTATGCTTATGTAAATGATCCTTTATACTGTTTATTTTGTTAATTCTTCTAATTGCAGTTCTTTATTATTTTAACCTATTAGATCATTAATCTCTCAAATGGGCCTGTCTCCTCCTAAGACTTCCTTGTTGCATTTTTTAAAAAAAAGATTATTTATTAATACAGAACTGGGGTACAGGCCAGAGATGTGGAGGTTGAGAGGATTCACCAGGAACAGAGTGGGGAGCAGAACAGGCAGATCGATGAAGTACACTGCTGAGGGGAGCAGTGGGCGGGTCAGGAGAGGTCTGCCACGCTATGTGGATCTCCTCCAGGGCGGGCAGGGATCAAACTTATGCTGAAGTGGCTTTAGCTTCTTAGTGCCATGCTTTAACCCGCTGCACCACCAGGGAGGGCCCCCTTGTTGCATTTTATATACAAATTGCAGATTTATCTTCCTAAAGCATCCTGTTTTGGGACTCCTTAGCCTAACATCTAAGATTTTGATTTTCAATATGGACATGATTTTTCTGAAAGCTAGTCACAAAAGATTTTGTACCCCTTTCCAGTGCTCAAAGAAGGGAACCATTGAGGGATTACCTTCTATATGTCCTAGACAAACAGATATTTTCCTCTCAATGAGCAATGAGATGGAGGAAAATTAGAATCACAGTATTGCTTTTATTTGCATTTCCTTCTGTTCATTTAATTCTGCCATTTGTTTTATGAGTATTCAGTGTTTTATCAGTATTAACATGTCTTAAATGCTCACTTTATTTTTTCTATATTCATGCTGCATTTAAATTAGATAATCTGTATCACTTTGTGGTTAAGTAGAAATAGATTTTATCCCCTTCAACAATTGTTTTATTATTACTATTATTATTCTACTTTTTAAAATCCCTGTTTGGTTTTTGAGATTCCTATTTTTTCACACTCTAGATGTCTCCCTTCAAGTGTGATCACTATTGTTTTCCCATACTAAAGTGCCCATCCTCAGGAAATTGTTATGAGGAAATGACAATCTTTAGTAAATCACCTGGTGAAGTAATTAAGTCTTCTGTAGTAGGAGCTTTTGACACTTTGATTTTTCTATTCTGTAAGTTCAAATTTGTGCATTTTCCAAAATTTTTAATGTAAAAAGTGATGTATAATCTTAGTGCCCATTTGAACAATATAGGTGCATATATACTAAAAAGTACTTTGTTTTCTTTCAGTTCTTCCAGTGAACAAGTTTTTCCTATTTGGAAAATGTTGTGACTTTTGTACATTAAAAATAATTTCTAGCTTTCCTAAGTTATCTACTGTGAATTTTTGATACAGAAGCCCCTTTGATTACACTAAAAAATTTAAGTAAATTATTCAATAAAATAAGTTTTAAAATGAATTTATTGCCTTATTTTTCCTTCCCCCTGTGTTTTTCAATGATTTTTATGATAGTCTCTCTTAAAGGTTTTATATACATTGGATTTTTTAATGTTCTCTTAGTATCTCATAGTATGAGTGTACATAATGATAAACAATTAGATTGGTTATCATTAAGTAACCAATTAATATAATGAATACTTATCACTAAGATAACCATTTAATATAATGAATACTTATATTTGTGATTATATTTTGGTAGATGTAAATATTTGTAAATTTGGCAAATGCAGGTATATGTAAAACAGATGATTCTAAAGCTGAAATTGAATCAAAGGGTCCATGCATTAAAATTTAAATAACGTTTTCTAAATGTAAAATAGCACATTCTTTTTTATATCTTTTTTATGTTGGTTAATGCAATGAATATTGAGGAATTAAATTTTTTGTGGAGATCATTATTACGCGTTTCATATTAGGTAGTTTTCAAACAGACTTTAACAGCTTTCATTTTCTGTAACAGTCCTACTCCCCAGATTACTAGTAAATACTTCTGTTAGTAAATTCTTTCCTTTTTAGTAGATAGATAAAGTAATTCAACTTTAACATCATAAAAGAAAATAAGGATAATATAGTGTAAATTTTATGCATTCTTCTCTGTAAATAACCACTTCTTTTTCTTACATAAACTAAGACTAGTTGTTATCTCTTGTGCTTTGCATTTCTGAAAATATTAAAATCAGTAATCTAAGTTTTTATGAAAGCTTTTTTTATACAAATAAAATTACTTTAATTTGAATTGACTGATTTAGTTTTGTCGTTTAACACAGTTTATTTCCATATTCGACTTTCTATGTTTTAGAAGTTTATATAGGTGAATATATCATTGGTTTTATTATGCTTTTTGCTTTTTGTCTTTCCTTACAAAAAGGAAAACTGTTATTTGAGTTAAATTAAAATGAAATTAAAGTTTAATAAAGGGAAAAGTAAATGAGATAAAACCCAAAATAGAATGAATAGAATAAATGCTTATGTCTGTTTTTCTTTTTCTTTTCTGTAGTTCTTGGGAATTTGAAGGTCCAACTATCATCTATTGCCCTTCTAGAAAAATGACAGAACAAGTTACAGCTGAATTTAGGAAACTGAAGTTAGCCTGTGGAACATACCATGCAGGCATGAGTATTACATCACGGAAAGAGATTCATCATAAATTTATGAGAGATGAAATTCAGGTGTGAAGTTTAATTACTATTCTCTGTCTCCATAGTGGACATGAATATCTTTGTTTTGAGTATTAGTATGAAAACATCTTTATTTTTTTTTGCAGATCAGGAACAGTTTTCACAGTCCCCTAATAGAGGCTGTCTAGTTTCTTAAATGATTGTATTTTTACTCTTTACCTCAATAACTCAAAATAATTAATGTTTGGTTCATTAACTGACCAATAGTTTCATTTATCTTTATATATAACTAATTATTCTTTTACATAGAAATAATTCTCACAGATTTGAGAGAATACAAACCTTATTTATGTTGTGTTGTAATGAGAAGCATTGTTAGATGCTACTGGGTTTCCTACCTCACACCACTTTGTTAAACACTAATATTTGAAATAAGATATTAAAAACCTCACAGTGGTCACTGATAACTATTCAAGAATGGTGCATGTATATATGTGTGCTGCTATATTTCCCGTTCTATGTTTTTATCCACCTTATGAAAATTTAAAAATTGCTAATGATTGTGCCACTTAGATTGACATCAGGTTTTCTATTATACCTTATAGCTCACCCAATGGACCTGTTCTTTGACATCTTAGATAAATCAGAAGCTTCACATTTTCATTGAGGCTTCACACACATTTTCTCAAGATGATGAAAATACATTTCCTCATCTATTGATTAGTCTGGTGTTCTTAGAATTGATAACTTACCTTGAGTATTTATTGAGTGTCTGCTGATTGTATATGTGTCAGAATTCTTTATTCATTATTCTTTTTACACTATCCTGTCTTTCTATTTTAGTATGGGCCTAAAAGTATAGAGCTGACTTCCCAAACTCTTGAGTAATGCTAGAACTGCTTATATTTTATAAAAAATATTTTTACAAAGCCAAATAAATATACCAAGATATAATTTGCATTTTAGTCTGTGTCCATTCTTTCAATTCTTTTAGATTTATGTCGGTGTCATTTTGTAATTTGTATTTTTTCTTAAGATTTATATATTTATGCTTACAGAACTGGGGTACAGGCCAGAGGTGTGGGGGGTGAGAGGATTCAACAGAGGCAAAGTGGGGAATAGAACAGGCAGGTCTACTGAAGTACACTGCCGAGGGTAGCATCTGGCAGGCCAGGAGAGGTTTGCCACACCATGTGGGTCAGCACACTGGCTGGGGATGGAAGTTGTGCTGCAGTGGTTTCTGAGAGCTTCATAGTGCTGTGCTTTAATTCATTGCGCCACCAGGGAGAGCCCTGTAATTTGTATTTTAAGATAACTTGAATCTCTTTACTTTTTGGAATGATAAAATGTCTTTATTAAAACCTGAGAGTTTAGGTCTTCCCAGGTGGCGCAAAGAGTTAAGTCCCAGCATTATGAAGCTACCCCACAGTTACTGAAGCATGAGTTTGATCTCTGGCCAGGAAGCTGACACATGACTCAGCACACCTCTACTGTCTCACCACTGCTGCCCTCAGCAGTGTATTTCCATCAGTGGGCCTTTATCTCACCTTTCTGTGTCTGGTGAATCCTCCCCCATCCCACCTCTGGCCTACACCCCAGCTCTTGTATGAAAACATAAATAAATAAAATAAATCTTAAAAAACCCTGCGCTTTTATAGGGGTATTTTGAAAATCATGTTTATATAATAGTATATTTCATCTAAAAATAATGATATTAATATTGAGATCCCTGAAAGGGGCTTAGAAGTATCTGGGTGGAGTAAAGAGTAGGATAAAAAGGAAAGATAATCTTTTATCTTTCATAGTGGAGAATCAATAGATAATGGCCTAAACTAGTAAACAAGTAAGAATCTAAGTAGTAGTCCTATAAAAAAATAATTGCAAGATAAGTGGCAGAAGAAAAACTAGAGAGAATTGTGAGTGACAAATAGAAGTTACAGTTATTAAATGCTTCCTTTTTTCTAAACCATGTAGTATATATATTATAGTTACCTTTCTTAAATATCTTTTTGTATTTTGTTAATACTTAAAATATTTCATTTTTTGTGTACTTATCACCTGTTTTCAAAAAAATCTCTCCCATTCATTTGCATCTGATCTCAGTACATTCATACATATTAGTTATTTTTAGAGATTTTATACTTTTAGAGATTCAGAGATAAATTCATGTTTCATCCTACCATCTTTAATGAGAAACTTACTTCCATTTTAGAATAGCACTATAAAATTAAGGTACTATGGGATTAGATAAGGACTCCTGAAACTTCATAATAGCACGAGTGTCATTTAATTAATATAATTAGTATTTGAAGAGCCTCCTTTGTATATTAAGTCAACACTTCATCTGTAAATTGGGCAGATAATCTTTTAATCTCTAAGTAATTGGTTGAAATTATATTGAATTCAGTTTTATGCCAGTGAGTTTAGTTAATGAGCAAATTATTCTAATTATACCAAGAGATATAAATACAAGGGTTTAGTTCTCCTGAATATTTATCAAACTATACTGTTATTTATTCTCAGTGCATCATCGCTACTATAGCTTTTGGAATGGGCATAAATAAAGCTGACATTCGTAGAGTCATTCATTATGGTGCCCCTAAGGAAATGGAATCATATTACCAGGAGATTGGTAGAGCTGGCCGTGATGGACTTCAAAGTTTTTGTCATGTACTCTGGACTCCGGCAGACATTAACTTAAATAGGTAAAGACATTTACTGCTTTCACACTTAGAGCTTTCCTTTTCTTTTAAATATGTTATTAATTTTTTTAAAGATTTATATATTTATGC